CAATGACTAGGATGACAAGACTGGAAAGCTGGACTTTGACGAATTCAAGGAAGTATGGATTCTGATTAAAGATCTGTTGGTGAGTAAATTTACAGTTGATCACAACATGCGTTTGTCGAAATATCCCCCATTTTTTTCCTTTTTTATCGATCAATCGCAATCAGCATATCAGAATTACTCTTTCAGGAAAGGTAACGGAAAAATCCGTACGATGGGTGCCGAGCCGCTTTAAATTATCGAGGTGGACTGGGGAGGGGGATGAAAGAAAATAGTGAGATCAGTTCTTTTCGCGCCCAAATCGAACAAGTAAATCCAAGTGAAATTCTCTACCCTGTCATTACCTTCACAAATTCCTCCTCCTTCGTTTTTGACCAAGACGTTGCTCGTATTTTGCAGAAAATCTTCTCTGAGCATGACGCAGACAACAGTGGTACCATGGACATGTACGAGCTGCAATCAGCTCTTGAAAAGCAAGGTGAAGGCTTCTCTTTATATTTTTCGCTTCCAAACTAATATGTCAGTATCGCAAGCAAAAAGCGTATTGAATTGTCTCCAATTGTGGGTGAATTACCTTGTTCTTATGTTGAGCACATTTTGGTAAATTAATATTAGACCAAATTCAAATTACGCGCACTAGCCAATCGGGACAAAGGTAAATTATCCGGTTCGATTTCTGCCCTTTTCTCTAGTTCAGTCTTTGATCCTTCCGAGTTCGGAGAAAGAGCGCGGGCTCATTCCTAAACAGCGGATGGCAATCAAGCTTATGAACACTTTTGAACTTGAAATAAGAAAGTATCAGGAACGAAGCCAGAACGGACAATTTTTGAGCTGAGACCCACTTTACTATTCCCTTCATTTACATTTTAAGTAATGGCGTCAGGCTTACAAAGTTATCGGGGCTTTTTAGAAACGGGCCCCTGCTAGCTTGTTTAGACAGAACGATTCATTCTGTAGAAGGTATTGCATACGGCCCGTTCAATTGACCTATCATAGCGCACGTACTAACTGAGAGATACGTTCACCCTTCAACTCCTAAGAGTGACTAGCAACTAATTTCTCCTTAAAATGTAACTCCTGAATCAAACATTAAGTTTACGAGATTAAAAAAAAAATGATCGCCAACTATTGGAGCTCTTGACTGTGAGACAGATTCTCCTTCTCAGTATCATAGGAAATGAAGAGAGAACTTTTTTAATATTCCTTAACGATGAATTTGATTTCCCATTTCTCGTCAGGTATCTATCTCAGCCAAGAAACTTTGAATGCCATCTCTGCCCGCTTTAACAACAAGAAGGGAACCCTGTGTTTTGACGACTTCCTGCAGATTGTCTGCCGTATTTACTCAATTAAAGGTGCGCCGATATTCAGTTTTATTTTGACGTAGGCAAACGTGGGAAACAACCAGAGAATGTTTTAAGTATTTGTTTGCTATCATTGCTTCGGAATCACATTAAATCGTTATTTGACAGTTGATCACCGAAGTGGAGGTGAATAGTGGTAGATAATTACTAACACGGGGGTTAAAAATTGTTTTAGTAAACACCACATAAGAACCAATTTTCCTTCAATATACCAAAAAAATGATCGGAGCCCCAGACTTCTGGACCCCCGGACCTCTGAACCCCAGACCCTGTCACTAAGTCTGACGCTGAATGAGTATAGGTTAGTAATAGTGAACTGTCAGGGGAGGGGGACGGGATTAACAATGTTGCCAATCGTTTTATGCTAAAACAAGCGTGACAAGCTCTGCCGGCATGGGCCTGGCACGTGTGCCTGTGCTAATAGCGGTTTTCATTTCTTAGATGACTTTGACGGACATGCTGACCGTACGGGTAGAGCTACGTTTAGCCTTGATCAGGTAAGGAAGCGATTATTATCCGTGCTGACTACTGTGCAATTTTCTTTTTTTTTTTTATTTTTTATTTATTTATTTTTTTTGTATCGTGGTAATAATTTACAGCTACATCGAAAATATTTAAGTTGCGGTGATCAACCTTGGAACTAAAATGGTTTTAAGATTTCCGTATACCCCTTGATTAGTCAGACGGTAGTTCATCTTAAGTTGGAGTCGTTTCATTTCGAGTGCTTTTCGATTGAGTGTCGCGCAAACAAACGTAAAACTTGACGTAAAACCCAAACCAAAGTAATCACAGCGGAAAATCAGAAGATTTTAAAATACTTTTAAGAGCCAATGAGAAGTCAAAGTTAATCCAACTAAATTGTCTGAAGCGCGGGAAAACGCACGTGACCAAGTCGTGATTGGTTTTGGTTTTGCATCTGATTGGTTGAGAAAGGGGTGCGAGTTTCGTGGACCAATCACAGAGGGAAGTAAGGCACAACCAACCCAATCTTGAAGTACTTTCGACACTCAATTGAAATTTGCTTAGCAGGAAAATTTGTTTGGCATCCAGGAGCTTCTTAAATGAATGATTATTTCCTTCATTCTCTTGATCTTTACATTTGACTCAAGGGTAGTACTGTGAGGAGAAAGTCAGGGGGGTCAACGGGTTAACGATGGAGAAGATTGTACTTACTTTGCAAATGATCAACTTGAGAAATTTGTCCTAAATTTTTAGTTACCCAACATTGGTTTATCTCTTCAATAGCATTTTCATGAGTTTTGGTATTAATAGTTATAATTACTTCATAATTGCATACGTTTTATTCAATAGCATTTACATAAGTTTTGGTATTAACGGTAATAATTACTTCATAATTGCATACGTTTTATCGTTCATCATACGTGATATTTATTTTCACTTTCAGTTCCTACGTACCTGTCTTACCATGTAATCTGACGGAGATAAAAAAAAAACTGCTTGGTAACGAAAACTTTAGAGAGCTTTTCTAATGTTAATATGAAACTGATAACGGCATGAATTAATGTTCTCACTTTCAAACTGAAGAATTTAACTTTGCTGATGCTGTCAAGCAATAATAATTAGCGTTAATTTGGATCGGTATTAAGCATTCGGGACGCATTCCGTAGCATGAATTACATGTTATCAGCTGGTAATTGCTTTTATTAGTTGTGCAACTAAATGAAAGGAATGCTTAGAGGAAGTTGGTGAAAGAGAAGCGTTGATCACATTCGGACAATAAAACAGCCATTTTACGTACGACTCAATTGAGTAATTTTGGCGAGCGAGTTTCAGTGTTTTCTTAGCAAAAATAATGGCCTCCATCTTTGATTTTAATGACAGCGGAAGGCTGAGGAGAGAAAGAAATTTGTACCAAGGGGGTGTGCTACAATAAAAATGAGGAAAGGGGGTGGGGGAGTGTTTTTTCGCCTTTCCCAGCCCCCTTACTCAATTCCTTAGTCAATTCTAACTCCAAATCAAACACGGTTGAATAAACGATCGCGCGCTTAATTTCTTAACGGTTACTTGCCCTAATAAGACGCCTGTACTGCAGGCAAAAATTTTTTAGAAACATCAGAACAAGGCATTCAATTGATAAACCTTCGATGAATAACTATAGCCAACTCGCCTCATTTCCCCATCATTCGCTCGGTGCGTTTTTGTGTCTGATTCGAGATACCTCAAGCACTGGATTTCAACACGGGAAATAATTAGCTGGCACTAAGAGTGCATTTTACTCCTTCGACCAACTAATACCAACTTTCTTTTCTTTTCAGTTTATCACCACAGTTATTACTTTCTAGTTTTGCTGATACGGTTGTGCACAGAAGGCATTTGAAAGCGTGGATTACATTAAACTAAAAACAGTTCGCGTAGTTGTCTTTGTCATTGGTATATCACATATATTTAGTATGCTTTGTCAGCACTCTACAGATTTGTCACGCAATGGTGTGACAAATTCCGAGAGTCACTATTAAGCAAACTTATTTCTAGGGGTGTGTTTCTAGTATTTGGACTATCCGAATTTTCAATTTCGGAATAAAATCAAGAGTAAGCTTAATTAATAAGATAACTTAAACTGTTAAAATAAAACTCGTCGAGGAGATTAAGAAAGAAGTAGGGATAAGTCGTTAAGGTGTGTCTGCGAATTAACTGTTTCCACTTAGTATGAGAGAAAGATCCATCGCCTTTTTTTAATTAGTGTTTTTATTAAAGTAATCGTGTTTGTAACCACTAAATAAGAAAAAAGTAAGGGCAATAAAGGTCTGAAACCACAAGTTTGGCGTGTTTACTATTACTGTACAGATAAAAGAGAAGCAATGTCTTTGGGAAGACGTATTTTCAGAACTTAAATTCTTTGTATTTCTTCGCGGATTTCCCGCTGTCTGTGGCCTTCTTACGTTTCTGCGAATGAAGAAAAAGAATTATTTCCACTTACAACGTAAACTTACCTTGGGTAGCAAATAACGGCATAAAAAAGTCACAAGGGGCCATTGAGAGATCGCAGAAGTGAAAGAGCGCGGGAAAAGCGAGCGAGCACGTCGCAATTAGCTTTGGTTTTATATCTCATTGGTTTGGAGGATAGATGGAGTTTTCTATACCAATCGCAACGCAGAAAAAAGCAAAACACATACATCTGATTACTTTTGACACTTCATTTCCGTTAGTGAGCGAAAGATCAATTAATCAACTTCTTGAGTCGGCGCTTGTTTGCTATGTCCAACATCGGTATGCATATACTCCATACCGTCCTCCATGAATTTCCTAAAAAGCGTGCATGAAGAAATTTATTTAACGATGTAGAGCTTTTTTGGATGGTGATCATTTCCTTATTCCTGTGACCTTAGTGAGTGATTCAGCGGAGATTTCGTGAGGGTGAAGTGATTATCGAATATAGATCCCGTGAGACACAAGATGATCACACATGTACTCTCATCCTCTCCACCAAAGGAAGTTATGGAGCAGCAGAGTGTTTCAGTGTCATTTTACTTGCTATGCGACCAAAGAGCATCGCATTAGAGTCAGTGAGTGTGATAGTAAGAATTCGTTTCTATTTTCTAGGCACGGTACCTTCTGTTTGGCGGCGTGCTCTGCAACCATGTCACTCAGATCCTCTTTCTGCAGTTGACTCTCTCTTTCTTTGAGTTGTTCTTCGTATCTAAAATACACCAACAAAGAGAAAATTTAAGCACAACTTAAGAGACAACAAGAAGAAGACTTGGTGCGTTCAATACAAACTGGCTCTGAAAGGAAAACAAAAGGGTACGTTTTTGTTCCACTGGAAAACACGCATCTTTTTGTGTGCGTTTCTATGACAGTTACTCCCAAAGCGAGAAATGATACGGCCAATTGATGTGTTGAGATATGGCGTTGATATATAACCAAATTCTTTGCACAGGCCAACAAAGAAGTATGCCGACACCAATAGGGAGAAACAGCTCTTAGATCTAGGGAATGAAAGTATCAAATTATGCTTCTTCAACAACAATAGAAACTTACCTGGCCTGCATGGCAGCTGGATCTAACTCCAACTCACTCGGGTCCAGTGCTACCTCGACGCCTTCGGTGAGAGGTGCACCAGCCTGGAAAAGTTAAGACATAAATTAGTTCCTAGGCAAATTTCAAGACCAAAATACGCGCAAATAAAATACAGCAACGAACACTGATTGAAGGTTTTGGAAGCATAAATTTGCCATTGAAGGCTAATCCAACTTACTTTTCTGGGACCTCCTGCGGCAGCCTGCAAAAGAAGAGGAAGAAAAAAAACATTTGAGTCTTCCAGCAGAAATATATCAATTTTTGTCGCTAGAGGTGAGTATTCGGAAGTCACTGCGATACTACAGTGTCTGCGAGTGACCAATTCGCGGTTGATTTTAGTTTTGAATCTGATTGGTTGGGAAGGCGCAAGTTTTGTGGACCAATCACAATGACATGGCGAAGTAAAGCAACACCGAAAAAACACTCTGATTACTTTCGACCCTCAGTTGAAAATTCTTTTAATAAAATTAATATCAGTTTGGAAACTATCTGGAAGGGATCCGAAACGCCAAAGGTCAGATTTTTTTCGTCCCATTCTAGTGGCGTTTCATATCTTTTATCTTTAGTTACTAAATCCTTTGGTGAGACTTACCGATGCCACGTCGTACACATGCGCGGATCCCATCATGGCGGCGCCCACGTTGACTCTCTTTTCAGGCAGTACTGTATACAGTGGCTGTTGTTCAGCACCACTCTCCATCGCCTCCTCGATGTTCTTCCTCTTTCGCAGTTCAATCATGTCCGGTGTCTCCATGCCAGCTGGTATAGAGGTCAGACCGCTAGGTGTGATCAAACCACTGCACGAGAAACCAGACAAGACAGTTAGAGCAGCTTAATTCTTCCTTTCTCCCCCCCCCCCCCCCCCCCCCCTATATATTGTCTGTGGGACCCAAGCGTCTCAACGCCTTTCACTCTAACATCAGTATGCATATTCTCCCTACTTTTTTCCATACATTTCCTAAGGTGTTGACAAGGAGAATTTGTTTGTGATCACTTCCTCTATTCTCGTGACCTTCATGTTTGACTCAGAGGTGATTTGTAAAGAGAAATTAACCACTTTAGGCAACTTACGTGTCCGCCGGTGTTATGAGACCCGTTTGATCTTCTTCTTCCTCCGATTCCTCCTAAAACACAGATTCACATTCTTAGTTTTTTAAAGCATGTACCTTTGGGACTTACTTATTTGTAAAACAGATATCATATCAAATCAAATTCCCTATTGCTGAATCCCTTTGGCTAAGAAGATCGCCCATTGTAATAGGAACTTGTTTGACAAAACACACCATGTTACTTTAGTCAATACGTTCCATCGCCCCTCTACGGCTTTCGTGTATTAAATTCCTGCCCACGAACAAAAACACAAACCGGCGAATGAACGTACCTCGGATTCGGACTCCTCCTCGGACTCAGATTCTAATTCACCCCAGGGTTGACTTTCAATCTGCTCGTCTTCTTCCATCATCGGAGCCTCGTGCGATTGTATACCAAACACGTCACCATACAAAGGCTTCCCTTGTTCATCCACTGGAGGCTTACCCCAGCCTCCTGCGTGATAACCAAACGAGGCACCCTGGGACCAAAAACGTTTCATTCAAGGTCTTTCAATAGTATTTTCTCTTTTAGTCAGTTCTTCCCGTCGAATTTTCATCAGAAGAAAGGTTACCTCTCCCTGTAATCACTTTACCTTAACCCCTTAATATCAGTATGCATATTTTCCATAATGTTCTTTATACATTTCCTGAGGTGTTGACAAGGAGAATTCGGTTTACCAATCAACAGCTCCTTTCCTTGATGATCATTTCCTTTATTCTCATGACCTTAACGTGTGATTCAGGGATGATATTGTAGCGAGAAATGTGGATCTTGTCACTGTTATGGTTTATAGGGCTAAACTTCAAATTCAAGGTATGGAAAACATTGCTGATCTTCAGTTCCTTAAAAAACTCATGCGAGTTTTTCTTTTTGCGATGAGCACACTAACCATAAAAATACGTGAATTGGAATGTGGCTTCAATAGAAACAACCAGTCTCGTTCATAAACTTGGAACGGAAAAATTCAAGTTTTATCTTACCTCAGGAATGGGTGCATTCAATCCAGGGATCTTGAGGTTGGGGTATGAAGGAGGAGGGCCGTACCTCTGCATGGCGATTAACCAGGGAGGTGGAACTAAATTACTATTGGGGCCAATTGGCATACCGAGGGCTGTTCTTAAGTCATCTGATAAGTCTCCTGGCTTCTTTTCTTTCAATCTTGTTTCAAACTCTTTACCCTGGAAGACATAATGTTCAGCTCAACACCGTCTTAACATGACACTTAAAAGGATGCTAAATCGCCTTTAATAGAAGTTAACACTTTTGAGTAATTTCAATAATGTTCATCCTTTGTGGGGATAAAAGAAATCTCAGCTTAAAAGCGGGAAGGCCCATCCCACCAGAACTTATCCTCGCTTTAGGGGCATGAGGCAACTAACAGTATTGCTTCTTCCCCCAGATGGGATACCAGTCCCTCGCAGGGTAACCACTTAGAATCTCGTCAAGTTTTCACAACATATTCCTGTACCATCATACATACCCCTGTAAAGTAACTTGCCCAAGGTGAAGAACACAACAAATTGACCCACCCAAGACTCAACCCCAGACCTTTCAATCCATTGTCCAATGTCACAATGGATTTGGACAACAGGATCCAGCCCCCACTCCGAATGCGCTGGCAAAAATGGACCGAGGGTTGGAATCTAGGAGGGCCCAAAGACAATAGGAAACTAGCGCACATAAGGCGACAAGGTCTCCCAGTTCTTGCGAGAGAGTGAGTGAAGAAACTAGGTTGGAAAGAGTACATTTCTTTAAATTACTGCACAAAAAATTATGTCAATATGAACATACATAACAACCAAGACTTACTTCATAGTAAAGTTCACCATGGATGAACATCTTTGGTTTTGTTTGCCACCTGAAACAATTCAAAATAGAAAACATTATCTATTGCATATCTTTGTTTAACCCTTTTAACTCCCAAGATCTGATTGGTAATTCTCCCCTCTAGCTGCTACATTTTTTCTTGTAAATTGGTTACGAGAATTTGGTGTTCGATCAAGGTAATATCTCCTACCTGATGAGTTTGAGTATTCTCGTTACCTGTTTGCTGGATAATGCATGGATATTATAGGGAGAAGTGCCATGTTAATCAACTCTGGGAGTTTAAGGGTTAAAATGTGTTTTACGATTTTGTTAGCAAAGAAAGAACAAAAGAATACTTTAATTGTCCCTCACTCCTTAATCTAATTATTCTTTCACTCCAAAAAGGAGGAACTGCACATAATCTATAGCACCCAGAGAGTAACATGTTTGACTCACTTGAAGAATGCATCGTGAAGCTTTTGATAATCAATATCAATCTTGCCCATTTTTGGTCTGACCTACGAAACATTATGAAACAAAAAATCAAGGTTATAAATACAATAGTCCTTAGTGTCTGCAAAACCAACATAATGAAATAAAATACAACACAAATGAGACATACTTTCTCTCTCATCTTTGCTTTCATAGTCTTCTGATCTTCCTGTAATGAAAAGACGAATCAAGACAACAGGACTCATAAAAATCATTTGTAAATACTAACCAAAATGGTTGAAAGACAGCTAGTCAGGAGAGAAGTACTCTACCAGTGGAGGCATAAGGCTTTTAATAGCAAAAACAAAGTAAACAGTTTACCTTTTCCTGCATAGCTTCTCTCATCTCCATAATACCAGTTCTCTGCAAAAGCAAGTAATGCATATCATCAAAAACATAAAATGTAAAGAATGATTACTGGCCTTTTGTTTACAAACAGGCACATAATTGGTGGTAAAAATTGTAGGGTTGCCCAGCACAAACCTTTATAAACTCTGGCAACTCAAATGGTGGCTTCACAATACCTCTTTTACCCTGGGAAAAAAAATGAATGAAGTGTTAAGTACAAACAAGAATATCAGATAAAATCTGAAATGGAAATTCCTTGTTTTGACAGTTTCTATCAGCAATAAATGTATTGCAAAATCAAGATTTTATTTAGCACTAGCCGAAGGCAAAAAGATCGAGAGCACCAGTGTTAAAAGTCACATGTAAGAACAGTTTTGAACAGTCCCTATTACATTTATCTAGTAAATTTGTTGTGATACATTTGAATGGCACTTTTTCACCAATTTTTTCAAGTTACATGAACAAGTTCTTAAGGGTTCCAGCTTTGAAAACCTAAAAAAAAGTTACACAATTCAAAAATGATGCCACATGATCACTAACCTCGAGGCCTCAAAAAGTTGTTAAAGCATAAATTTAAGATTTTTCCTCATTAATAGCTGTAATGTTGTTCAAAAATTACATCCTTTATCCATATCTCAAATAGTTTGCATATAAAGGCATTGTAAGTTGCAGGAATAATTAAGAATTCTTTTCTCTTGTCCTGCAAGTAGAGATACCTTCTAGTCATTCTCCCAGTAACACAAACACTGAACATAGGAGTAGCAATGTTCAGAAAATTAGAAGTGTCTCTGGACAAACATTTTTTTGCAATTTACTAACCACAGGAATATCAATTTCTCACCTGAAGATATTTTCTTTTGAAACACCAATGTCTGGGAACAGGCACAGTGTTACGGCAAGACTGAAAACCAAAATAGTTCAGAAATATTGAACCAATGCTAAAAGGAACAAGTTGAGTACATGTAGGTAAGGTCTGCAATCACACAAGTGATTAACAACACTGAACAATAAGAATCTGCTGTTTGATAATGAGTATGACTTCAGCAACATATGGACAACATAAATTCTTGTCAGCAATAATCAAAATGAGCTACACTGGACAAAATTTGCAAAACAAACAACCCGTGCATTAGCCATTTTCATGTGTAAAAATTCACCTGTGAAGTGAAATTTTTTGCCTTCTACCCTCTATATATGGAGTGTGTGCAAATTATGCATAGAATACTATAACAGCTTTAGGTATGTGGATAACCTTACTATGCACTGGCACAATGTAAAGGTAATGTGCCGACAATGTAATCTACAAGCTCAATTGAAAGATCTGTTCTTGTAGGAATGAGAAATGCCAGCTTAATATACTTTTCCCACAAATGAAAACTTTCACTGAGCAACAATGAATGCACAGCAAACAGCAAAATGTGGGAAGGTACTTAACTCAAAGAAATGTTATGTTATGTCAATGTTATGTCAAGTCACAGAGGCAAATTCCAAAAAAATTTGTTTTAATGCTACCTGTACCTGCTCTGGTCCAAATGTACACACAGCAGAAAAAAACTGTTAATTACTAGTTAGATTTGTATCAAAAGCAACAATATCTGCATGTAGTTACCTTCAGGAAGACAAGAAATTTAGGATCCTGTGCAGTAACATCATGCATTTCAACCACATCAGGTCTGGGGACCAGCTGAAAAGGAAACAAACCATAAAACAATTCTTAAGCAGAGTGGAGGTTTGGAGAATGGACTCTTGCATACACAGACAAATTTTTTTGTCACCACCTTAACAAACCCAGTTTTACCTTCCACAAAAAATTGTATTTTAACAAAACAAACCTGTTTTAATTCAGCTACACTTAATCTGTTCATCTTTCGAAGTTTTTTCTTAGACAGCTTTGGCTGTTCGTCTTCAGGTTTTTTCTGCAAAGTAACAAAAATACACAAAACCTCACTATAGAACAAATGTATTTAAAGTATATGTATGTATTTTGAACACTTATAAAAAAACACATCAAACAAATACTACTGAAATCCTATACAGTGAAAACCACAGACCAAACAAAAACATGTTTAATATACATGTAGTGGCAATGTGTTAGAATTTCGCAGTATGCATATTACTTCAACTATGGTAAAGAGAAATTCTGATTAGAATATAGTCAGGGTGCTTTCCCACACCTCCCCCCTGTCAACTACCAAAATGGATGAAGATCAGGCCCTCTTATCACAGAAACTGATGATGGAGAGGTTACTCCACTGCTACAAACATCAATCAAAGCTTTTTAGTTATATTTTCAGGATGGACATCTCATCAATTGATGATTAGATTTATAATTTAAATCTAAATTCCATAAAGTTGACAAGGGCTTGAAAGTATAAAAATCAAGAGCAAATCCAGAGGCTTTCATATAAATCTACTGGCAGTTCAAAACTTAACAACAAAAGAGCACCTTAATTTCATTTTTTTGTTTTTTGGCTTAAAACTGCTCAGAATCACAGAGTAAATGGTGTGTAATGCAGCCGATCGGATGGCAGCATTTGCAGTAAAATTCCTGGTAGATTAACACTTCTAGTTGTTATTATTCATAACTTATCCTCACCACCACATCTTCATCATCGTCGTCATCATCATCATCGTCATCTTTAGTGAGATCTTTCACTTCACTCTTCTTTGCCTCCACCTGCAATAGACAAAGAAAACCATTCCATAGACATAAGTATACAACCTTTTTTCAGATATTTTGAGACCAAAAATTTTACTTACTGCTTCTTCCTTTTCATCAGTCTTTTTCTCTGCTGCATCACTTTTAGCAGGATCTGATAACTTAAAAAAAGGTAAAAACAAATTAGATTGTGTGACTTAACTGAGCAAAAAAAAATTGAAGATAAACCAGGGTCAGTAGAATTTCCTTGCATGCTTCCTGGTTATAGATGTGTGATTAACTGATTTTTTAGAGCCTTGTGAAACTATTTTCATGGAAAAAAAAGAAGCATATTTTTACCTACTTCACTCCAAAGATCTTAATATCACTTCTTTGTATACTTTGGTCCAAAAAATGCAGTGATAAATCAGAAAATACCCTCTTTCATATATTTATTTCCTTCCTTCCTTCCTCTCCTTTCTAGCTTGAAAATTGATATTACGGGTAAAACAACTTATTGTATTAAATCTCCTGATCAATTTTCATATACTGTATTTAACAGATTAACACAAAGAGATACCTTGAAAGCCTCAAAAATCTTGGCAAATGCTCTGTAGTTTGGGTCCAGTGGACTGATGGATTCAGTGACATACTCAATCTCAACATTTTCTTTTTCTTCCTCTGTGCCACGTTGCACCTCCTGGACAAACTTTACACAGTAAAATGAGTGGAATCAGCTCAACAAACAGAAAATTTGAGACTCGTACTGAAAACTTTTAAGACAAAGCTTTTTAGCTCAGAATGAGCTGGAAGTGATGCAGTGGCGATGATGTCCATATCTTTCTTTTATCTTTTGTCATCTTTTAAACAAGACACTATGGTATGCCTCACGTATAACCTCTGAATTATTCTAACTGCAACTTCATTCTGGGCTTGTTGATTTTGAGGTTGTTTTTAGTAAACCCTTTCACTCCTGCAATATTATTAGTAATTCTCCTTACTGTCTACCACACAGTTCTTTTGATATTAGTTTGGAGAATTTAGTACTGGATCAACTAATAATCGCCTAATTGATATTTTTCTTTTTTCTTGTCACTTGTCTGCTTGATATTGTACTGATATTGTAAGGAGAAATTCTGACTTGGTCACTCATGGGAGTTAAAGGGTTTAGGCAGCACAAACAAGAAACAACTGACAGAGATAAGTCTAGTGGTATCTTTTTCAAGTTTACATGACACACACAGTGCCATTTATGGCTTAAACACTTTGTAGCTTTACAGCCAATAAAATTTTTGTACACACCTCAACCTTCTTCTTTTTCTTCTTCTTCTTTTTCCTCTTTTTCTTATCTTTGCTCTAAGAAATGGAATAAGAAAGCAGTGCTTAGGTACATGTAAACAGAATGCTTCTTAAGTGTCAGCACCCACCTTAATATCAGTATGTGAAATTAATTTTTTTTCTAATAGCCACTTGGCTCCTAAATTTTTCAAAGTGGTAGCCAATTCAAAAAAAGTTGGTTGCCATTGTTAAAGACAAACAAAACCCTTTTTAAGCTATAAGTGATCTAGATAGACCCTCCAAAATTAAGTTCTACAGAGTTCTACAAAGAAGATACTAGGATGGATGATATACAACATTCAAGCTCACCTAAATCCAAGATGGTGTCTAGTTATCGATCAAGATACATTTGCCACGTTTTAGAAAAACTTAACGAGGAAGTTTGCCGCAGATTTATCTTTGCAAATCTTGTTAATTCACTATATCTCTAGGTATGGTTATGACGAAGCATTCTAGTCACCAATTTGGCAACTGCTTTTGAGGATTTGGTTGCTAAAGTGAAAAATTTAGTCGCATTGGCATCTGTATAAGGCACAATTTCACACCCTGAATATACCTTAACTTTAGACATATAGTACGTAACTTACCAGGTACTTGAAGTTTTATGTTTTATCATTGTTTTTTCTTGTGTTTGTGTGTGTATGTGTTTTACAGCTGTACATGCTCTAGTATAGGTGCTTGCCAACTTAAAATATTATGGATTTTCAACTCAATTTAACTATGCTTTCTTTGGTGCAAAAAAGCAATACATACCTCTGTACGTTGTTCTGGTTGTTCATCTTCATTGTCCTCAGTATCAATCCTCTGATCATCAACATAATCCTGATAGTCATTTTCTTCTTCGGCAGTTTCTGGTTCAAAGCTATTATGCTCCATGTCTTGCTGAGTCTGTGGAGGTTCATTATCATCATGATTAACAATACTGTCATGTTCCTCTGCAAGGGGATAATCTACCATCACCCATGGTTCACGAGAATCTGAAGTCATGAAAGTATTATCTTCGTAAGATTCTTGCTGGAGCCCATCAGTATTAGGATGTGATTGTGGAATATTTTGCTCCTCTGGTGTAGATAACTCAGCATGTTGCTCTTGGGCATTGCCTTGAGCAGATTCTTGCACCAATCCTCTTGAAAGTGCAGCGTTTTCTGATGCAATTTGATTCTGGTCAGGTACAGGAATGTCTGCAGTTTCTTCTTGAATTTGCTCAATTGGCATTTCCTCTTCTTCTCGCATTTGGTCACCTTGAATTTGTTCATGAATAATCTCTGGTTCATGCAAGCTTTTATTTGCGATTTCCTCAAGGGAATGTGAATTTTCCTGATCCTGATTATTCCCTTCAAGATCCCTTTCTGGGATACTCTGTTGTTCTAATGCTTCTTCTTCCGTTTCAAGCATGTTTTGACTTTGATGTTCTTGTTGGGCTGGTAGATGATCATCTTCAACAGCCTTGGGTTCAAAGGAAATTTTCTCCTCTAAAGGAACATCTGATCCTGGTATGCGATCATCCTCTGTCTTTATGATTACAGGATAATGTTCAGAATCAGACGGATACATCCCCTGGTCACTATCTGTAATTGGTATTATTACATGTTTGACATCTTTTTCTTCACTGTGAGTAACTGTATGTTCAGGGGGAATCACTTCTTGGGTGGAAATTTCAGGCTCAGCTATAAATACAACAAAAGCATGAGTTTAGACTGAACAAATTTTTAACATTGACAATACTTTTCAAAAGTTACCAATCCAAAACAGACCTTCATGATCACTGCTTTCTTCAGCTGGAGGTGCTTGGGGAGGTGGCAGCTGAAAACAAAGAAAATACAATCAAAACTATTTGATGGGTAACAACATTATTTCATGTGAAATATGGTGTTAACAAGCATGAGTAAATTTTTCAAAGACAACAAAATTGGACAAGCCCATAGGGGGAGTACAATTTGTAGTCTTCCAAAAAATTTTCAAGTGCTTATTATACCAAATTGCTTGCCATTACAACTGAACAAATGCTCAGACCATCAGATTAACTGGGAACAAACAGATTTTGGTACAAAATGACCAGATTGTGTGACATCTAAAATCTCACAAGAACATTTCTTGCAATATTTTAGGGGTAATGTACTTCGTGAATTTAGGTCCTTCACAGCAAACTTTTTATTTTCAGATATTCTAGAACACGACAAATAAAATCTACGTCTTCAAGCTCGGTTTTACGTGAAGATGAAGAGGAAAATTTTATCCGAGTATTGTATATAATTTATATCTTTGCATAATAATAGTTGGTGAGATGTCTGTACAGATTTTACCAACTTAATAAATGTGGATGTAAATGTAGATGAAGATGACACTTTCTACTAACATGAGCTCAAACTAAAAACTAATTGCATACATTTAGTACGTGGATAAGTAAACTATTATGAATAGCTAGTTGCATGTTCAAGCTTACCGACTCAAAATAACTCTGGAGCCTTGCGACTAGTTCAGCTTTCAAGCCTAAAATTCAAATCATGGGAAGAAGAAACCATCAAATCGTATTTTAGCTCTAGAAATGCACGTGGATAGCGATCAAACATTCCATCTGGCTGGGAAAGATGCAGACTGATTACGCTCACTAAAAGCCTCAAAAGTCACATAAGATTAAAAAATAACAAATTTAAATGGATTATCTTCCACTTTACCTGAAGTATGCAGTCCAAGCGATGACAAACGAGCCTTAAGCTCGACAACTTTAAACTTTTTTATTTCCTCGAATGTAGGTATGTCGTCCATTTTGGATTGAATGCGACCTGGCGACGTTTGCGGAAAGGATTATGGGTATTTCACCGTGAGAGATTGGATACCACATCATCTTGCCGCCTGGCGGAAAATGTCATCCTTACTCTGACCTTCGAATTTATACTCTTTATAGACAACTTATTAGAAAAATATTGTTGGATTATGGAACTTCACTTTCTTGGCACAGGGTCATGTTATCCGTCTCCTAACAGAGGAGCCTCGTGCATTGTTTTACGGCACGAGACAGGCTGTTGGATGTTTGATTGTGGGGAAGGGACCCAGATTCAACTCATGAAAAGTACTCTAAAACCGGGAAGAGTCAATAAGATTTTTATCACTCATCTTCACGGAGATCACCTCTTTGGTTTACCTGGCCTTCTTTGCACATTAGGATTGAACTGTGCTGAAAATAAGCCGCCCATTGAAATCTATGGACCCGTTGGCCTGAGGAAGTTTGTTAGATTGTCTCTGGAATTGTCACAATCATTGCTTGGTTATTGCTACTCTGTCACCGAGCTGCAGTCTTTTGCATCAGGTGGATGTGTAAATGTTTTCTACATTCTCTCTAGTATGATGTAATTAGTTTTGCCAGAAAAGGCTCTGGTGCACATTTAAATTTGAGTATCACAAAACAAGACCTAAGTTTTCTCATTAAAGCCAATCAGGGCAAGAATTAAATGTCACCAGGGGTCAATAAAAATTCAAAACATAGAAAAACAAAACTGAGTAATTTAAGTGTAATTTTTTATTTGCTGAACTGAACAATGTACACTATATTTTGTGATGGTCCTTCTCTTCCAGGAACTAATGAGGAACAGGCACACTCATCATCTGCATCAGACAGTTTACACCCAAATGAGACTCATGGGGGAATGATTCTTGCCAATGATAAAGGTGTATGGGAAGTTTGCCAAGAAGGAAATTTAACTGTGTTTGCAGCGCCACTTAAACATCGTGTTACATGTTTTGGTTATGTGATTCAAGAGAAACAGCTTCCTGGAAAACTGGACCCTAATATTTTAAAAAGTAAAGGTATTCCCCCAGGTCCTCTTTATGCAAAAATCAAGAATGGTCAAACAATAACAGCTCCTGATGGTAGTCTAATCAAGCCTACAGATGTATTGGGGTCACCACGCCCTGGTCGTAAAGCTGTTATTCTTGGAGATACATGTGACTCTTCAAGGATTGTAGACATTGCTTCTGATGCAGATGTTGTTGTTCATGAAGCTACTCTTGAAAATGAATTGATGGCTCAGTGCATAGATCATGGTCACTCAACTCCAGGTAACTACTTCTGACAGCAATTATATGTATGCTCTAAAAGCACCTCTCCTAGAAAAGGTTTCCCCTGAAATAAGATTTGCTTGTGCAGGAAGCAAAAAAGTCTGTTATGTTCTCCAATCCCACACCCTGTTAACTAGAGTGGAGTGAAGGGAAAAGAAAAAAGTTAAAAATGTTAAAAACAAATTTGAAAAAGGGAATTAGCATCGTATTACATGGAGTAATTTATCCAAGACCTGTAATTTATACAGATGAGCCCACATGTAACAAACTCATCTATTATCTCATCATCTTTCATATCCTGGTGAAAGAAAGGCTATGTTGACTAAATGAAAAAGCAAATTAGCATAACATTGCATGGTATTTGTCCAACAGCTTTAGCAGTAGTAAAAGGGGTTGATTTCTAAAGAAACTGTGGTGCCACATCAGTGGGAGAGTATAACAGGGTAATTTGGCATTATCAACTGCATTGATAATGTAATTTGGCCACTGTAGAGAGTTTTAAAGCTGGTATTTCAAGCATTAGCCCATTGTCAGATCATAAGACAAAGGGCTAAAGCTTGAAATGTCAGCTTTGAAACTCTTTATGGTGGCCAATTTATGTTATCAACTCAGTTGATAATACCATATTACACAGCTTTAGCAGTAATTTGATACTAATGAGCTCACTGATGACAAACTCTCCACACAAAGAATAGAATAGTTAAGGTTCTCTTTCTGTGTTTTTTTCCCAACAGAAATGGCTGGACAGTTTGCAAGGAAAATCAAAGCCAAAAAACTGGTTCTCACACATTTTAGCCAAAGATACAAGCGAGTTAGTGACATTGAAGGAAGTGGCAATGATGACACTGCAACTATAAAAAAACTTCTTATGCAAGCTGAGAAGGCATTTCTGCCTGGAAATGTTGTTGATGCTGATGACTTCATGGTTATACAAATTCCTCAAAAGCAATAACAAAGCACTTTTAATTCTGTTCATACCTACATCTAATGTAGTGTTCACAAACAATACAGTTCTCTCAATTTTTTTTTACACAAACCTGAGTGAGACTGACATGTAATGCTATAATTTATACAACAGGAAAAATACCTTAAGTTAATCAATTATCTTATGAAACCAATGAATTTATCTAACTATACTTTTGAGGTAAATATTACAAGGGAGCAACTCCTAACCTACAAAATCCACTATACACCTAATTTCAGCTACTGCTGATACACAGTGAAAATTGCCTTCCTCTGAAACTCCCAACTTTTAGAAAAATTCAGCAGTAGACTACAACAACTATATTTAGCTTTTTCAAGCACTCAGCCTTGGCCAATAACATCCACTAACTTCATTAGGTCATCAACTGCTTATATACATTAATAAGGCATTAATATTAAAGGTTCTTGAAACCTTTAAAGTAACTATTCTTGTAACATTATGTAATGATTGCATCACTCAGTAGAATGTTCTAGATTAATCCACATAGCATGACCAAGCTTTCTATAAATTTCCAGAAACTCTTTATTCACAGCTACTCTCTATAACAATTAACACTTCCTAAAATGGACCATACAGTTGGTTCTTGCTATTTGAATTCTTCAGTTATTTTTTTTAACTTAATTCACACTAAAACAGGCACCACCTTGCTATTAGTGATGTTTGTGCATACTTGCAATA